TGTCGGATAGATGATGTACGTCCTGTCGGATGGCTGGGGAGTCATTGAGTCAGCACGGCATTCCCGGTAGCTTTTCTATGTCTTGCAAGCAGCAGAGCCAGGGAAATGGCTTCCCTCCTCATTTAACTACTTTTAAATGATTCATGCTGTGTCTTGTTAAATATTTAGAGATGACTCCTGCAGCACAGCAGTTTTTTCTTCTCCCTGGTCCACTGTCACGAAGCTCGTTGCCGTCGTGAGGTGCATTGCAAGATCCCTGCCCAGAGGCTCATGCCACCCATCACAGCAGCACTTGCTCCCATCTGTCAGGCAGGAAAGGGCAGGAGGCCATAACTGAGTGGCCCACCAATAAACATCCTCACAGGAGGCATCATCCTGCCCATTCTTCATTGAAAAAATACATGCCACTCCTGCGGCTCAGCTGGAAACCCCACGACCCCCCCATGCCATCCTGTAACTGCAGAGGTCAGGTGCTGCTGTCTTGGTTTTGGAGCCTTTCAGTCCTTCTGCCTCAGGACACGTAGCCGAGACCAAACAGTGCTTCATCAGGGTGATTTTTACTTGTATATAAAGCAGTATATTGAATATAAGAAGTGAGTGTCCTAAAGGTGTGTGTCTGATGCTATAGGAGAGATGGAGGCTACAAGTATCTCCATAGGGCTCTGGCATCTGATCATATTTTAGACCATATAAAATTCATCATGAACAGGCTTCATGGTCACATAAATTGTGAATCCAGGTGTGTTTTGGAAGGACAGGAAGATGCTTGGAATGCTCGGGTGTTTTTGAGTCTCTGGTGCCTTGTGGTCTGAGGTCTGGTGCCTAGAGTCGCTGCCTTGAGTTCCTCAGTGCAAGAAGTCGCGCTTCCCCTCAAGGAAAGCAAGGCACGGAGGGCTCGGAGCCATTGGGCTCACCACTGATTCTTCCTAGAATAGCAGTGTGGGGGATTTCCATGTGCATTGGGCCTGGCTGAGGAGGCATCTCCACATCAAGTGTTGGCCTCGGACTGTGCTCCAAGGGTTGAGGGAGCCAGAGAGCTGTCCAGAGCGTTACAGGGCTCCATGATGTTGGGAAATTGTTGTTGCCAAAGGAAGAGAAAGTATTATAAAGGGGCAGAAGTGCTTCCTTTCCCATCAGATATAAAAAAAGGACGTTTACTGTATGTCCTCGGAGCGTCTTCTCACCCTGGTGTACCTCATGCCTTGCTGCGATAGAGCCTCAGCAGGCAGACGATGGAGATGTGACCATGGTGTCCCTAGATGTGGCCAGTCGCTTTCCTGCCTTGCCTAGGAGCCTCCTCTGCTATCGGGACAGTGCTGGGGCCAGCCGGGGCTCCCCGGAAGTGTGGAGCGTGGTGACATGAGGGGACAGGCTGTTGGAAGCGAGAGTGGAAGAAGCAGCAGGGGCAGTGGTGACTGGCGGCATTTAGAGCTCTAAACTGCGTAGCCTGCTGAAAGAGGGCAAGGAGCCAAACTCAAATTCGTTGCCCTGGAGGCACAGGGGAAACAAGTCCTGACGAGTCCTCTGCGCCTGGCATTTCGCACTGCCCTGCCTTCTCCCCAGGGCACAGGACGACTGGCACGGTGTCTTCTGCCGCTCGAGGCCTTCTCCAGTCCAGAGAGCTGCAGTCATTTAGCTGAGCCCCAGGGCCCTTAAATTAACCGGGGAAAATATGAATGAGTCTGACTTAGCCGGGCAGTGACAGTCACTTATTCTAAACCATGACTTTTGCAAGGAAATGCATCACTGTTTCTGGTGAGATGAAAGAAAAAAGAAAAAAAGTGATCAAAATGCTTTGTAGCCATAGGCAATCTGGGACATGTGATGAGGTACAACTTGACTCATAGAACCACAAGGGTGTTGGAAAGGACTGAAGTTTGGAGAGTCCCTGCTCACAGTGGGTAAGAAACCAGCACAGATGATATCTCCAAGCAGCACAAGGCTCCTACATCCGGAGGGTTTTCTCTTGATCCCAAACCAAAAGGTCTGGTTCTTCCTCATCAGTTGTCTCAAGCTTATGGTCAGCTTATGAGCTGCTCCAAGCTGGTTTTGAAATGAACCCCTGTGATATATGGCTGATGCATATAGAAACCAGCATGACACAGGAAGCATTTTCTAGTGGAACAACTTGGTTTGGCGTTCCAAAAGAGCCAAGAGAAGCCAAGAAACCCTTGTGGGCTCTCGCTTGGGACCTCTGATGCTTCTCCAGCCTGTGGCTGAGGCGCTCAACTCTCCAGGAAGTGGTGGTGATTCTGCTTTCTGAGCACAGCAACCCTTGATGCTGGGCAGCACTTCCTGGGAAGATGGGCAAAGAAGCACCTGGGGGAGCATGTGGCTCTCCTCATTCTGCAGAGGGCCTTGTTTGAGCAAGCTGTTGAGATGCCAGTCAGCAGGGGAAAGTTCAACTCGTTTTAGATGTGTCTGTTGGTCTGCCTTGGCTGCAGAGGCCTCTAGACAGGCTTTGGTGGAGACATCTCCATTTTGTGTGCCCACAGTTTGCGGGGGTCAGTAGTGCACTGGAGGAAGCAGGTGTTCCCTGAGAAATCACTTGCTGGTTGCATGTGTCTTCTTTGTGTGTCTTCTTCAGAGTGACTTCAGCTGCTTGGCTTTGCATGTGCTGGCCCGATCAGGGAGACCTGAGCGTTTCCACCTTCCTCATACTTCAGGTTGGAGAGGTGCTATCAGTTCCTATGGCCCGAACACGCTGTCCGCAGCGGTGTGACCACAAGGCTGAGGCCCAGGTCTTGCATGGCTGTGTTGCAGACCCTTTGGTGCATCTTAAAACCTTGTCCAAGGGCCCGGGAGTAACCCCCTTGCAGGCTCTTAGGGTGGTCAGTGCTCTCCAAAGTAGGAAGCGCTGCCCCAGGAGGGCTCCTCAGGCAGCCCAAGCCTGGAACAGCTCATGTCCATCCCCATCGGGGCCGGTGCCAGCAGATGCTCTCAGTCTGGGGGTGCATCCGAACCCAGGGCTCCACTTTTGGATCATTCCTTGCGGGAAGCTCCACTGCTGCCAAGCTCACATGGGAAACTCACAGCTGCATTCCAGGGGCTTGGCCTCCCCAGCCAGCTGGGACGTGTAACTGGGTCCCTGGAGGAGTGGTAAACATTAACTCTCCCTTGCCTGGGATTTGGCAGCCCCACAGAGCTGATATTTCTCTATCAGAGCTGTGTGGGGGCTGCTACTTGCTGTGTTTGACCGTAGCTGGCGCAAGCTGCAGCCCTCACATGCTCCCTGACCTTGGAGAGGTGCAGAAAGGTACCCCAGGAGAGCACAACCCTTGTGCAGGTCTTCAAGCCAGCGAACACTAGATAACCCAGCCCCTGCTCACATCCAAGGCCTCTTGCATCAGGGCTGGTGCGGGGTGCCCTGCTTTGGTCTCCCACAACGGGCTGCAGGGCAGCGGTGGTTCTGTGGGCTCTGAAGACTGAAGTGCCAGCTGAAGTTATGCTCCTCCTGCAGTGAGAGTCTTGTGCAATCTCGTAACCCAAGAAACCAGGGTTTTAATGGCAAACAAACAGAGCAAGGTGCGGGAGGTGTATTCGGAGTTGGTCGGCGCTGGCCTTTGCTGAGGGGATCCTTGGCTTTCCCTAACCCCCAGGAGTGGCAGGGCAGCTGTTGATGATGGAGGAGCTGTGGTCATCTGCATCTGAGCACCTCAGTCATGGAGGTTTCTGTAATTAGGGCCTGAAAAGGGATGTATTATTGGAGGACTGAGCAGGCCTCCTTCTCCTCCCTGTGTGCAGCAAGTGCTGTTTGCTCAAGAGAGTCCTGCATGTGTCTTAGGAACAGGACAATGTGCACTGCAGCAGCAGGGCTGCTGGCAAAGTCAGGCAGAGGTTGCTGTCCCTCTGGTTTCCTTCAGGCCCATAGGGCAAGCTTCTCTGTCCTCCTTCCTAGCATGCCAGGAGGTCGTGGGCAATGCAAGCTCATGAGCATCGTGAGGCCAGATCTCTTCTGCAGGGTTGTTGTTAACCAGAGCTTGTTCAGGAGCCCTGCCAGCTCCCTTGAACCTAGAGAGGTGATGGGTCCATGTTATGGGAGGGTCCATGAGGGTCCATGGAGAAGACTGGAGGGAGAGTCAATGTCAAGGGCAACAGGTCTCATCCAAGCAGTCGCTGTGGGTCTTGTGTTGTGGTGGTTTAAGTGTTGGGGCACTTTGCAGGCGCTGTGCCCACTGTCCAGGGCAGCTGGGAATGCTGTGCCTGGGCTAGGGTCCTAGTGGGTGCTGTGCGCGGGCTCTCTGGGAGGGTACCCTCGCCTTACGCTAGCCTGGCCTCAGCCTGTGCTTCTCCCTCTCTTGCGGGACTGTGCCGGTGCCGCATAGCAGCCTGATGAGCTGGAGGCTGAGTCAGGCCTGGTGAGTCACCGCTCCTGCGCCAGGCCCCGCACGCGCTGTCCCGCAGCCGCCTGCCTGGCACGGGCCTGCCCAGGGCCTGCAGAGCTCTGCGTGCTGGGACACCCACGTGGGAGATACTCTGCTGTGGGGTCTCTGAGGGTCTTGGGATGTGATGAACTTGACTATCTGGTGGCTTGGGCACTTTGTGGGTACTGTGCATGGTGGCCCGGACACCTAGACGGTCACCAGAGACTGTCTGTACGGTCAGAGGTGATTCATCTGCCCCATAAAGTAACCACCCTTGCGAGGAGGTAAACTGGAGCTCGATGGATCAGATGTGTCAGCCTCCAGCATCAGTTCCTGGGCTGGATCAGCTGTATCCTGTCCAAGCAGGATGGGGCTTGTGACCTTGGGACACTTGAACCTGACACTCAGGGCAGTGCAGAGCAGGGTGGGGAGAGAGTCTCAAGCAGGCCCAGCCCTGCACCCAAGGGCTCTTGGAAGTGCTGGGGCAGCAGAAGTGCAGGCAGGAGGCTTGATGGGGTAACTCGCTTCCTTCAGGAGTCAGAGATGGGCTGTGGGGAAGGATGTGTACACCGCTGTCCTCACCAGCAGCACATGGGGATGCTTTCTCCTCACATGAGCTGTCTGTTTCTCCAGCTGGAAGACTGCACCCTGCAGGTTTCACCATCCGGACACTACCTGGACCTTGACCTGTCCTTGCTGGAGCAGAAGGATGACCTGGAGGGTTTCTACGAGGAGGTCAAGTGAGTGATGTGGGGCTGCAGGGCCGGTGGACCCTCTGGTGATGGCTGAGGGTGGGCATGGAGGTCCTGTAGGTTCCTGCCACAGCATGTGAGCCTCTGACCGTTGGTGCTGGGGAGAGGAGCTCAGCAAGGCCATGGTGGGGAGATGGGGGCTCTGGACCTTCACACCGCATGTTCTCTCATCCCAGAAAGGGAAGACGACCGACTCTGATCCTGCGCACGCAGCTCTCTGTTCGAGTCCATGTCATCATTGGTGAGTCCAGGGGTGCGCCATGAGCCCTGCTGCACGACCACCCAAATTGCCCCCCACCTTGATGGGAAACCCATGGGTTAATCTCCTCCACCCCCGGAGATCAGAACTTGCATTTCTTAGGCTGGGAGCCAAAGGCTCCCACACTACAAGTCTTCTGGGTCATTCAGGCAAGCTCTAAATTTAGCTTTAGAGAACACAAACAAGTAGCTGGTGTGCAGCAAAAAGCCTTGCTGCTGCTTCAGGCATCCTGTTTGGAAAACCAGCAAAATACTTGGAAGTCTCGAGTCTTTCTGGCTGTAGCATGGGAAAGAAAGAAAAGAGCCTTTGATTGGAGTGTCGCCGAACAAGCCTCATCTGGTCACAGCAGTCTGCAGCCTGTCTGACCAGTGACCATGGACACGGTCAAGGAGAAGATCCCTCCCTTGCCCATGAGCTGCCAATCCACCCTTTGCTCCTCACCGTTGGTGATGCCAAGTGGGGCCAGGGCAGCGGACAAGCTCTGTGGGGCAGGCATGTGGGTTTGTGCCTGCTGGGTCCTCTTTCCGTCTCAGCTTTGCAACATCTTGCATGCCTGAGAGCTGGGATTCCTTGCTGGGCTTTGCCCCGCTGTCCCCAGTGCGTGCTCCCCTTTCCTACCCTTGCAGGAAGGCCGAGGTCACGGTGGTTGCTCCTTGCAAATGGTTCCCAGGCTCCGGATGAGCTCTAGGCTGCTCTGCTTTCCATCTCCTCCAATGCAGTGGAGGCGGTGGGTGCCGGGACCACATGTTTTACAGAGCCCTCGCCAGCATGTCTTGAAACCTCCCTGAACAGCTTATTTTTTTGGCTTGTTAAAGCTTCTATCCTGACCCAAATAACTCAGGATGCTGCCGAGGAGATGAGCCAGATTCAGCCTTCAGAGCAGGAAATCAGGAGGAAACCAGCACCGCAGCTATGAAAGAAAAACAGATCTGTGCTCTGGCTGCTGCTGAGTGCTGGGAGAGGCAGAGGCCGTGGCCTGCGCGCACCGAGCCAGCAGCGCTCATGAGGCTCATCGGGCTGATTCAGCACCCAGCACTGGGCAGAGGTTTCCAGTCTGGCCAAAGAAAACACTGAGCTGCACCAGACCACGGGGCGAGTGCGTGGGACCTCAGCCCTGGCCCTCTCTGGTCACGGGCAGCGAGAGGCAACGCTGGACGCCTGCTGTGTGCACGCTGCCCTCTCGGTCTGGCCTCCACTGCCTGGAGGTTGGTGGCTCTCCTGCTGTCCCCAAGCAGCTGATGTCCAAGACTCCTCGCTGCCTTGGGGCTAACATGTGTGAGAGCCACTGCAGACCAGGCAGCAGGCAGGACCTTTCAGGAGCTGTCCCATCACCTGAGCTTCCATGGGCAGAGTGGCACCTTTACTATCATCGTGTGCTGAGTCACCTGCCACGTCTTTGCAGGTGTCTCCAAGACAGTTACTCAGCCCTGGGGTGGAGGAGAGGGCTGGTAAATGCTCCCAATAAGAGTGGCAACCTGCCTTGGCTCTACTCCCAGCCCTAGGCATCTGCATGCCTGTGGGGAGCGGGCGCAGCTGAGCACTACAGGGATGATGCAGAGCTCCTTGGGGATCCCTGCATGTGGTTTGGGAGCTCCATCCACATTTGGGGGTTCTCTTCCCAATTGCAGGGGCTCTCTGCGTCCATCCTCTGCTCGCCCCTTTCCCAGGGCATAACTTGTGTTGCTGTTTCCACCTGATGCTACCCCGTTTTGCAGCCTGCAGCTGCTCTGGTGCATATAGCCTCTTTTTTATGGTTCCTGAACTCCCTCTGCTTTTCCATGATACTAGTTTTGGTGACCCAGGATCGCCAGTGAAGCGTGACTGTGCTGACAGCTCTGTGCCATGGGCTTTCACTAGTTAGTCAACACATCAGGGGTTCTGCCCGCTCTTCTTTGATCCAGTTGACTTAGTCCAGTTATCCCTCCTGCTGTCCACACAGCTTTTATTTGTTTATTTTTTCCCAACGCTATGTGTTCAATGTGTTCATCTGCTTTCTCTGGATGTGTTTCTATGGCTGGGGCAGCCATCAGAGCCCAGGAACCTTCTGGCCATGGAACAAAGCCAAAGATGATGCTGCAGAGTTGCCCATTGCCCTAGTAGGGCATCTCCTGAAGTTCTTGCTCTTTCCAAACGTCAAATGGGGCTCCGCAGACTCAAGAAACATTGAGATGGGGAGGAGTGAGGACGTCATCACCCAGAGGATGAAGCTCAGCCCTCCTGGTGCTGCTCCTCATAGTGTGCACCCGTGGGTGCCCCCTGCTGCCTTGCTGCTTGGCTCTGAGCAGCAGAGCCTGGGTGTCTGGCACTGTAATTCTCAACAGCTCATGCCATCCCCAGGGCAGCTCCCGAGGCATCCCTGCTTTGGGGCTGGGCCGCGGCGCTGTCTAGAACAGATCAGGGCTGCCTGGGCGGTGAGGGGCAGTTAAAAACAGTTCTGCATCTTGTTCCTGTTTCGGTTCCGCACAGGAAACTAGAGGGGATATTTGTGTCATTGCTGGCAGAAAAAAAGAAGAAAATAGGAGGGCTGTGAGGGCTGGGATAAGGTCATTGTGGAACTGCAGCTGCTTCCTGTCTGCCAGTTTACTGTATCTCCCACCTCCGGGCCTGGTGGCTGTGGAGGAGCAGTGGGGCAATGGGACAATCCCCTTGCAGTGCTGGGTATAGCTAAATGCATGAGGACCTAGCAGGGCCATGGAGTCCAAGGATGCTGGAGGAGCTGGTGCCTGCGTTTTGGAGGCCCTCCAGAGGCTGCAGGGAGGTGGGAAGCATGGTGGGGGTCTGCGTGTCCAGCCATGGAATAGCTGGTACTCCAAAACCACCTTCTTTGAGGAGCCACCTCCAGTTTCAGGAAGCTTTCAGAGCCCTGCTGTGGTGACCAGCCCCATGATGAGCTCCTACAGGTCCCCAGGACCCGTCAGGTGACACCATCTCTCTCGTTCCCCTCCAGAGAAGCTGTACAACTCCCAGGGGCCGGAGCTGCGGCGATCCCTCTTCTCCCTCAAGCAGCTCTTTCAGGTACGGTCTTCCCAAGGGCCTGGAGCTTCCCAGGATCTGGACAATTATCCTGGGCAGGACCAAGCTGCGCAGCCAGGGGTGGCTTAACCAGCTCCTCCATGGTGTGCACTGCCCTGGGGCTGGTGGCATGTCCTGCCTCCCAGGATTGGGGCCAAACTGGGCCCTTGGAGTCATGAATAGAGACTCCTCTCTTTCACTGTCCTCTTTTCCAAAGTTCAGCTTTTGTTTTTTGGAGCAGGATGCTCAGCTGGGATGCACACGTGCCTAGGAAGCTCCAGCTGGACCTGGAGGACCTGGGGGACCCTATAACCTCCATGCATTTCAGGGGAGTGGGATGGGAGCCCCACGAGGATGTGTGTGCTTTATTCCTCAGGAGGACAAGGACCTTGTGCCAGAGTTTGTCAACATGGATGGGCTGACGTGCCTGATCAAAGTGGGGGCGGAGGCTGACCAGAACTACCAGAACTACATCCTCCGGGGTGAGTATTTGGCCCAGCAGTGCCCCGGGGCTGGTGGTGGGCCGGACATCTTGCCCTAGCATCTCAAATGCCAAGGCAGACAGACTGGCACTTAAGGTAGTAAGTGAGTCTGTTTGGGCTACCCTGTGTATGGCTTGGCCCTACCTGTTCTTCACCTTGCAGCACTGAGCCAGATCATGCTCTTTGTGGATGGGATGCAGGGCGTCATCAACCACATTGAGACCATCCAGTGGCTCTACACTCTGTCTGGAAGCCCAGTAAGTGCCTGCTCCCCAGGAGGACTCGCTTTGCTTGCTGCTCTACCCGCTTTTTGCCATCCCTTCCCAGCCTCCCTGCCTCTGGCTGCCCCATCACACCACCCTTTGTGGGATTTACCCATCTCTGCCTTCACATGGGGTTTAGCAGCTCGTCACCTTCATGTCCTTGCTGGGCCCTGCTCTCACCTGCCCCGAGGGCATCACCTGAAGTCTCTGAAGTGCCTCTTCCCCATAGCACTCCTGCCCTATAAGACAACCTCCGTCTCCAAGTGCCTTCTTGGTGCCCGTTTGCTCTCAGGAGAGTGACTGCAGGGCTGGAGCCCTCCAAGGCTGTGACTTGCCTGCAGAGCCATCAACAGCAGATCCTGGGCACAGCATCCCCATGCCTGGCTGTGCCAGCCATGCACACATGTTGCTGGGCTCACGGTTGGGCAAGGGGGCTCTGGCAGTTCCTCCAGCTGGCTTTCCTCCTCCCAGTATCGCCTGGTGGTGAAGATGGCACTGAAGCTGCTACTGGTGTTCGTGGAGTACACGGAGCCCAACGCCCAGCTCCTTATCCATGCTGTGAACGCTGTGGATCAGGCAAGAGGTGGGTGCAAGAGCCCAAATTGCCAACAAAGTCCCTGCTCAGGGCTGCTCACCCTGCAGAGAGCCATGCCAAGCTGGGGGTGGTGATGGCAAGGGTGCCTCTATGCCAGTATGTGCCAGCTGTGATGGATGTGACACAGCAACTCGTGCAAGAGCACAGCTGGCTCGTGCAAAGGCACAGAGCCTCCGTGGACAAGCATGGGTCATGCCATGGTGCATCGGCCAACCTACATGTGGCATGTGGTCCAGTCTGCCAGGAGTCCAGTGGCTGGGCCAGGGTGGGAGCAGAGACCTGTGGTCATGGGTGCAGGCACTTGGGGGAGGATGCAGCCTGTTGCATCCCAGCTGGGTTCCTGGTGGTGCAAGGGGGTTGGTGCCACCACATCTGGGACGTGCATGCCGCTCTCCCTCACAGGCACATGTCCGTGGTCAAACCTGATGGCAATCCTACAGCAGCGCAATGGGGCCGACACAGAGCTGCTGGTGTTCGCCATGACGCTCATCAACAAGGTCAGGACTTCACCCTCTTCCCAAAAGACCCGCTTCCCCCCGTGTCATCCCCAGGCCCTCTGTGGGGCTCAGTACCATGAGCACAGTCCCAGCTGGTTCCCTCTGATCCTGCTCAGACGCTGGCTGCCCTCCCAGATCAGGACTCCTTCTACGACGTGACGGACTGCCTCGAGCAGCAAGGCATGGAGAGCATGGTGCAGCAGTACCTGAGCAGCAAGGGCACTGACCTCGATTTGAAGCAGCAGTTTCTGCTCTACGAAGTGAGCGGCACTTCCTCCTGTGACATCTTCCACGGTACCTGGGTGCCCAAGGTGTTGGGTGTCCCTTAGGCATCTTATTTACCATCAGTGCCCAGGGCTTGGCAGCAGCCTGGCACAAGCTGAGGCTCTGCCCAGCTCGCTCTGTGCTGCCAGCTCTACCCAACTCTTCTTTAGGACACAGAGATCATGGGTGGGTGTTGGGTGGGAGATGCTCAGGAGGGCTATGTGTGAGGTGTGTGGCTCCTGCCTCAGCCCTGTGTCCACCTCACAGAGTGCCCTCAAGCTGGAAGACGGCATTGAGGAGCCGCAGCCAGGCGGACGCAAGGAGCGGAGGAAGACAGATGAAGGGCGGCGCGGGTGGCGTTCCCAGGGCAGTGGAGCAGACCCTGGCTCTGGCACCAGCTCCCCGAGCGCCAACCATGAGACCCAGCAGCTGCTGGAGTCCCCCAGTGATGTGAAAAAGCCCCCTGCTGAGGACAGCCAGGCTCCTCTGGGGACAGATGTGCCAAAAAGCCCATCAGGGTGAGTGTGGCTTTGGGAACGCATGCGTGGGAGCAGGCAACAAGCTAGTCCTAGGGCTGCTGGCCAATGAACGGGGTGCATTGGGACATGATGGGGTGCAGGAGTGCAGGAAAGCTAAGGAGTGCCACTAGTTTGGACACCGTTGGCCACTGGCTGCCTGCAGGCCTGCTCTTCTTTGGGCTCTTGGCTTCTCCTTGTTTCCTGGTGACCCAAGGGTGCTCAGATGAGACATGAGGAGCTGTCTCAATGTCCACCATCCCTGATGGTGGTGGGGAATCCCTTGCCACAAGGACTGGCTGTCTTTCAGTATCACCTCATCTTCTAGGCCCTCCAAGAGCGTCTACAACAGCACGGCCAGCATGTGCCTGGCACTGTCCTCGCCCCCAGCCGAGAAGGAGCAGCCCCTGGGCCTGGGCGAGAGAAGTATTTACAAGTAAGCAGCCGGGAGAGGATGTAGCCCACAGCGGAGCCTTGATCCCAGGGCATGCGGAGGGAGGAGGAGTCTACCCGATGTTGTCCCTGCTGGGTTGTGCGTGGGGCTCCTAAGAGGGTTGGGCAGGGCCAGTGCCAAGGGATGGGGAGGCAGTGGGGTCTGAGTAGGCTCCATGGCTGGAAAGAGGTGTGACATAAGGGGCCGTCTGCTCTTCAAGAGAGCCGAGAGGGTCCTGCTTCCCCCAACACAACATCCTTCAGCCCCTGCCACCAGTTTGGCTCAGCAGGTTGCCCAAGAACAGCGGTCTAAGGGGAGAAGCTGGTGGTAGAGCCTGCTGGGACCATTGCTGCCTGCCCTCCTCTGCAAGGCCCTCTGCTTTGCAGCACTGGCTCTGTTTCTCACTCTGTATGGCCAAAATATGCTACAACTTGGGAGGTTGGGGTTGGGGAGGTAGGTT